GATGATGAGGATGAGGATGAGGATGAGGATGAGGATGAGGATGATGACACTGATAATAGTGATTTTGATGGTGATGATATCGTGACAATAATTATTATTCATAAGAATAATAAAAAGATAATATATTATTATTATGAGGGTAATGATTATCATCATTGCTGTTAACGGTATTATCATATAAACAATATCATCACAGGTATGATTTTCACATCTTCACCAGTGCATCATCAATCATCAGAATATTATAATCACATCAACATCATCATTGCAAATATCACCATCAACCGTCATTATTATCACCGATATCATCATCATCTCATTATCATATTAATACTATCACTATTGTTACACCAATAACATCAGTACCATCTTAGTATCATCATCATTATCACATTAATATCAACAATTATCATATCACCATTATCAAAATCATCATTATGTTGATACCATCATCATTATCATATCAATGTAATTATCATGTTGATGCCATCATTATTATGTCAATATCATAATTATTGAATTATTGTCATTATCATATCAATAGCATTATCACCATCATATCAATATCATTATCATATTATTGTCCTCATTATCATATTACTATCATCATCATCCTCATCATCATCAATCTCATAATTATCATAATTATTTTTCCATTTCGTAAAAGAACCAGCGTCTCAGTCCTCTCCTTCCCGTTTTCTTTTAGATTTCCGACAGTCGGAACTGCGGCAGCCTGGGCGGGGGCAACAACTCGTCCGATTCCCTGGAGGAAGACGAGGGCTCCGGCAGGATGACGGTGGCGCAGCTCGAGGAGCTCGTGCCCGAGGTGAGTCGTTTTGTGAGGGTTATGGCAGGTCGTTCCTGGTCGTTATGGGGCACTAAAAACGTTTTCTTAGGAGGGAGGGTTGATATTAAAGACTATTTGATGTGCCGAAGTTGTGGCTAGCCATCAGGAGGCAGTGGGTCCGTCGGCAGGTATTTATGGTTATTTATTTTTCCATCTTTTATTATCATATGAACGTATTCCTTTATTTATCACTTCCTTTACAGTCTATTATTTTTCATCACGGCCTTTATCATTATTTATCACTGGTTTGCCACTTTGCCACAAAATATTTTAACGCCCTCAGCCTAACACACCCACCCTTGCCCACTCGCCCTAGCCCACCCTCCCTTGCTCACTCACCCTAACACACCCTCCCTTACCCACTAACTCCGACCTACCCACCCTTACTCACTCATCCTAACCCACCCACTCACCCTTACACCCATCCTTGTTCATTCACCCTGACCCACTCACCCTAATCCAGCCACCTTTGCCCATTCACTCTAACCCACCCTCTCTTGCCCACCCACCCTGAACCATTCACCCTTGCTCACTCACCCTGAGCCACTCATCATTGCCCACTCATCCTAACCCACCCACCCTTGCTCTTTACTCACTCAAGCTAACCCACCCAACCCTAACCCACCTTTGAACCCACTCCAACCCTAACCCACCCTTTTCAAACCCACCAAACCCTAACCTACCCTTTTCTAATCCAGCAAATCTAATCCACAGACCATAACCCACCTTTTTCAAACCCACCCAACCCTAACCCACCCTTTTCAAACCCACCCTTTTTCAACCCCCCCAACCCTAACCCACCCTTTTCAAACCCACCCTTTTTCAAACCCACCCTTTTTCAACCCCCCCAACCCTAACCCACCCTTTTCAAACCCACCAAATCTAACCCACCGACTCTAACCCACTCTTTACAAACCCATCCAACCCTAACCCACCAAATCTAACCCACCCTTTACAAACCCACTCCAACCCTAACCCACCTTTTTCAAACCCACCAAACCCAACCCACCCAACCCTAACCCACCAAATATAACCCACTCCAACCCTAACCCACCCATTTCAAACCCACCCACATCTAACCCACCGACCCATCTCGCCCTCAGATCGCGTGGGGCCGGATGCTGCGCTACACCCTCGAGCAGTACGAGTTGGACCTCGACGTGGATTCCCTCATCATCAGCCTCCACTGCAGCGGATACATTCCCGATCTGGTGAAGCTGCTCTCGGAGACGCCCAAGAAGTGGGTTTTGAAGGGGGGGTTGGGGGTGAGGGGTTGGGTGGGGGGTGGGGAGGGGGGGTGGGGAAGGGGGTTGGGGTGGGGGAGAAGGGGTGTGGGGTGGAGAGGGGGGTAGAGGGTTGTTTGTGTGTGTGTGCTTTGTGGAGGCTTTCTTGTTTGGTTGGGTGGGTGGGGGTGGGTGTTTGTTTGTTTGTTTGTTTGTTTTTTGTGTGTTTTGTATTTTGGTTTGTTTGTGTTTGTATGTTTTATGTTTTTTTCGGTTTTATATTTTTGGGGGTGTTTGTTTGTGTCTGTTTTTTTATATCGGTTTGTTTCTTTGTTTTGTGTTTGTGTGTTTGTTTTTAGCTCGGTTTTATATTTATTTGGTGTTTGTGTGTTTTTCATTTCGGTTATCTGTTTTCTGTTTGCTTGTTTCTTTTTGTGCGGTTTTCCTTTCGGTTCTTCAATTGTTTTTGCGTTTGTGTGTTTTTTATTTCTATTTTCCGTTTTTTGGAAAGGTTGTTTGAGTGTATGGGTGTGTGTGTGATTTTACTTTTTTTTTGGTGGGGGGGGGGGTTGTAATTGCCTATCGGAATATCTGTCTATCTCTGATTTTAATCTATTTCTCTCTTGCTATCTATTTACTCTTCTATCCCCTTTCCATGGTTACTTACATATATGTTTATATTCATTCCATCTCTTTGACAATATTTCTATAAATCAATTCCAACCAACTTAATGTATCACGATCTTTATCAATATATTTCTATCCACACTAATTCGTCTATCACGATCTTTATCAATATATTTCTATCCACACTAATTCGTTTTTTCTCTCTCTCTCTCGTTTCAAAGGGTGATCGTAAACTACCTGCTGTGGAGATTCGTCCTACGTTATATGCCCTACATCAGTAACTACTTCCAGCAGTTGTGGCAGCAGTTTAGGAGTGAGGTAAGTAGGTAGAAAGTAGGAAGAAAGTTGTTTGGAAAGGAGGAGGGATAGGGTTGTTGTTGGGGAGGGGGGAGGTAAGTAGGGAGGAGGAGTGGAGGAGCGGTAAGTAGGTAGAAAGTAGGAAGAAAGTTGTTTGGAAAGGAGGAGGGATAGGGTTGTTGTTGGGGGGAGGGGGGAGGTAAGTAGGGAGGAGGAGTGGAGGGGGGTAAGCAGGGGTGATTTGGAAAGTAGGAGGGGTAGGGTTGCTGTTGGGGAGGGGGGAAGGTAAGTAGGAAGGAGGAATGGAGGAGCGGTAAGTAGGTAGAAAGTAGGAAGAAAGTTGTTTGGAAAGGAGGAGGGATAGGGTGGTGGGGGGGAAGGTAAGTAGGAAGGAGGATTGGAGGGGGGTAAGCAGGAGGGGAGGGTGATTTGGGGATAAGGAGGAGGGAAAGGGGGTAAGGAAGAGGGAGGGAAATGGGGTAAGGAAGAGGGAGGGAAAGGGAGTAAAGAGGGAGGGAAAGGGTGTAAGGAAGAGGGAGGGTAAAGGTGGTGGTAGGTAAGCAGGAGGGTAAGGGTGGGGGGAGGTAAGCAGGAGGGTAAGGGTGGGGGGAGGTAAGCAGGAGGTAAAGGTTAGTGGAGGGGGAGGTAGGCAGAAGGGAGGGGTGATTGGGGAGGAAGTAAGAAGGATGGATGATTGGGGGTAAGTAGGAGGGAGGGTGACTGTGAGGTAAGGAAGGATTAAGGATGATTGTTAGGTAAGAAGGAATTTAGGATGATTGTGAGGTAAATAGGAGACATGGTGACTGTGAGGAGGAGGAGGAGAAGGAATTATGGGTGATTTTTAAGTAAGCAAGAATTAAAGCTAATTGTGAGGTAACCAGGAAGGGGGGTGATTGTGAGGTAGATAGGAGAAAGGTTGATTGTGAGGAGGAGAAGGAATTAAGGGTATGGTAAGCAGGAAGGGAGGGTGATTGGGAAGAAAGCAGGAGGGAGGGTGGTTGTGAGGTAAGAACGAGAGAGGGTAACTGTTAGGTAAGTAGGAAAGGAATGATTGTAAGGTAAGCAGATGACTGGTAAATGTAGGTAAGGGGAAAGGTGATGGTGAGGTAAACAGGGGAGGAATGAACGTAAGGCAAGATAGAGAAAGATGTCCGTAAGGTAAATCAGGGTAAAGCGTAATATTAAGGTAAGCAGGGGAAGAGTGATTCTGAAGTAAGCAAACGTAGGTAAACAAAAGGTAAAACAGAAGAAGTGTGAAGTAAACAAGAGAAAGGGAGATATGATGCAATAAGATAGAAAAAAAAAAAACAACAACAGGCGAGTGCGAGAAAAACAAGAGAGAGAGAAATGAGATAAAAAGGGAGACGGGTAAGTGTGAGGTAAATAAGAGGACGAGAATAACGAGGTAATAAAGGAAAAGAGTGAGTGTGAGGTAAGTAAGAGAAAAAGAGTTATGAGTTAAGGAAAAGGAAAAGCTGAAAGACGTATTTTCTTTCACGAACAAGAAAGTCTAAATGAAAAAAAAAATGAGGGAACGTGACGTCAGTTCCTGTTGATTTTGGTGGGCGTGGCTGGGAGAAAATTGTCGATGTGGTTTTTTCACGTTTTTTTTTCTCTCTCCCTCTCTCTCTTCCTCCTTTCGTTCCCGCTGCTTCTCTTCCTTCTCTTCTTCTTCCTTCATCCTTCCTTATACCTTTCATTGATATTCTTCTCTCTTCCTCCCCCACTTCTATATTTTCCTTCCCCTCTTCCCTCTTTCCATTCACACATCCCTCCCCCTCATCTTTCTCTCCTATCTCCTCCTACTTCCTTCCTCCTTATTATCTTCCTTCTTCCTCTTCCCTGTCCTGCTGTCATTTCCTCCTCCTCTCCTTCCATATCCTTCTTCCTTTTCCGTATCTTCCTTTCCTTCTTCCTTCTTTGACCCTTTCCTTCGTTCCTTCTTTACCCCTACCTCCTCTCTTTCTCCACATTCATCTCCTTCCTCCCTTCCCCTTCATCCTTCCTTCTTCCTCTCGTTCCAATCACTTCTTCTTCCATCCTTCATCTTTCCCCTTTATATTTTCTCCCCCACCTCTTCGCCCTCTTCTTCTCTTCCCATACATTTCTCCCTCTTTCCTCTTCCCTATATTCTCTCCCTACATCTTCCTCCCTCTTCCTCTCTTCTCACACCCTATTCCCACTCTTCCCTTCCTCTCTTATCCCTTCATCCTCTTTCCCCTCCTTATCATATTCTCCTATCCCTCCTTCGTCTTCTCTTTCCTTCATCTTCTTCTTCTTCTTCTTCCTTCTTTCCACCTCTCTCTAACTCCTTTTCTCTCCATTTCTTCCCCCTCTCTTCCCTTTTCTTCCTCCCTCTTTTTCTTTCCCCCTTCCCTCCCCCCTCTTCTCCCCCATTCCTTCCTACCTTCCTCCTCCCTTCCGTCTCTCTCTCCTCTCTCCTTCCCCCTCTCTCTCCCTCCTCATCCTCTTCTCCCTCTCCCTTCCTCACTTACCTCCCTTCGCCTCTCTTCACTCTCCTTCCCCTCTCTCTTCCCTCCTCATCCTTCTCCCCCTCTCCCTTCCTCACTTACCCTCCCTTCCGCCTCTCTCTTTCTCCCTTCCCATCCATCCCCTCCCTTCCTCTCTTCCTCCTCCCTTCTGCCTCTCTCCCTTTCTTTATCCTTTTCCTTCCTTTCTTCCCCCTTTCTTCCTCCCTCTTCTCCTCTCCTCTTCCCTTCCTCCTCGCTCTTCTTCCCTTCCGTGTCTCCCCCTTTTCCTCTACCCCCTCCTTCCCCTATCCCTTCTCCTCCTACCCCCTCCTTCCCTCTACCCCTTCTCCCCCCTATACCCTCCCCCTTCTCCTCCTTCTCCCTACCCTTTCTCCCCCTTACCCCCTCCCCCTTCTCCTACCCCCTCCCTTTCTCCCCCTACCCCCTCCTTCCCCCTACCCCCTTCTCCCCTTACCCCCTCCTTCCCCCTTCCTTACCCCCTACCCCTCCTTCTCCCACCCACCCACTCTTCTCCCCTTACTCCCCTTTCTCTCTCCCAACCCCCCCCCTCCTTCCCCTCCCCCTCCACCAGGTACCCGACCCGACGGAGGAACGCACCTACATCAGCCGTTGGAAGGAATGCGCCGCCGTAGTCAACGAGGGGTTCGGTGCCGCCCTCGCTCGGATGTACGTCGAGAACCACTATGACCAGAAGATTTCTCAGGAGGTATGTTGCAAAGGGAAGGGGGGGAAGGGGGGAAGGGGAAAAGGGGGGAGGGAGGAAGGGGGAAGGAAGGGGAGGAGGTAGGGGGGACCGGGAGGGAAGGAGGGAGAGAGGGGGGAGATAAAGTGATGGTTGATGAAAGGTAACGAAGGCTATGGGAAATATTTTTTTCTTAATATAAAACGAGATCGTATATTGCATTTGGATATAGAGTTATGTTTTTTAAGGACTTTCTATGCTTAGGATTTTATAAGTTCTTTTTTTTATGAAATGGTAAACGTTAAACTTCGCTGACATGCATTGCTTAAATTTTTTTTTTTTACTTTTACAAACACAACCATCCCTTACTTCAAAGCGAAAAAGATCATTTCTCACCAGATTTATTTTCATGAGCCATTTATATATTTCCTTAAGATACCGGGAATGCTGTTTACTTTAGTCTTCCAGGGATCATTTCGTTCTTGCAAATGAACATAAAAGGTATTTCGTACGGAACAGGAAGACCGGAACGAAATGATGTTGATGGCGTGAACATTCCGAGCAGCTTAATCATAAAATAGGAAGATAATGTTTTAAAGTCACTGATTTGGAAAGGATAATCGAGAGATAATGATTGCGTAAAAGAGGCCGACATGCAATTGCACGACTTGGATCATAATCACAATCTTTATGTAGCTTCTGTTAATGTTTCATTACTGCAGCCAACTCCAAAATGTAATCACGAAATTATTGTTGGCAGATATGTATGCAGCATTCTCTTCTCTATTTCTCTCTCTCTGTGTATCTCTTGTCTCTCTCTGCCTCTCTTTCTGTCTGTCTCTCTTTCTATCTGTCTGTCTGTCTGTCTGTCTGTCTCTATGTCTCTCTCTCACTGTCTCTCTCTCTCTCTCTCTCTCTCTCTCTCTCTCTCTCTCTCTCTCTCTCTCTCTCTCTCTCTGTCTCTCTCTCTCTCTCTCTCTCTCTCTCTCTCTCTCTCTCTCTCTCTCTCTCTCTCTCTCTCTCTCTCTCTCTCTCTCTCTCTCTCTCTCTCTCTCTCTCTCTGTCTCTCTCTCTGTCTCTCTCTCTTTCTGTGTGTCTCTGTCTGTCTCTCTTTCTCTCTCTCCTCTCTCTCTCTCTCTCTCTCTCTCTCTCTCTCTCTCTCTCTCTCTCTCTCTCTCTCTCTCTCTCTCTCTCTCTCTCTCTCTCTCTCTCTCTCTCTCTCTTTCTGTCTGTCTCTCTTTCTATCTGTCCCTCTGTCTGTCTGTCTCTATGTCTCTCTGTCTCTCTCTCTTTATATATATATATATATATATATATATATATATATATATATATATATATATATATATATATATATATATATATATATATATATATATATATATATATACACACACTGTATATGCGCGCGTGTGTGTTGATGGATGGACGTTTGGGAGGGACGATGAGAGGAGGTTGGAACGCGGAGGGAATACAAATTCCTGGGCTTTTTCTCTTTTTATATATACATAAATTTATTTCTTTTATTCAGTCATTTATTTGTTTATTTATATACATACATGTGTATATGTGTGTGTGTGTGTGTGTGTGTGTGCGTGCGTGTGTGTGTGTGTGTGTGTGTGTATAAAAATATATTTGTGTGTATGTATGTATTTGTGTATATGTATATATATGTATGTATATATATATATATATATATATATATATATATATATATATATATATATATATATATATATAAAGAAAGAGAGTGAGAATGATAGAAAGCCTACGAATTCGTATTCTCTCCGTATCCCAATCCAACCTCCTCTCACCCCTCTCACTCCCCCCTTCCTCCCTTCTTCCCTCTACCCCCCTCTCCCTCTCCCCCCCCCTCCCCCCTATCCCCACCCCACCACACCCTACCCCCTATCCTCCTCCAGCCTTCCATCCATCAACGCGCATTACCCGAAGCCCGAGCTCCTCCTCCTCCTCCTCCTCCTCCTCCTCCTCCTCCTCCTCCACCTCTCGACAGCCAAGAAGATCTGACGTCTCTTCCTCTTCCACTTCCTCTTCCCTTAGATCGACGACATGGTGGAGGAGGTACGCACGGCCTTCCACCTCGTGATTGACCGGCAGGACTGGCTCGAGCAGGAGATGAAGGAGGTGTGCAGTGACAAGGTGGGTTTCTTTCGTTATTATGGAAGGTGTTTTTAGGGGTCTTTTTTTAAGGTTGAGGGGTTTTTTAAAGGCCTTCGTGGGGTTGTTAGAGTTTTTAAGGGTTTGAGGATTTTTTTTCTGAGTGTATTTCAAGGGTCGTCTATGGCAGGGTTAAGGGGACTTGATGTGGTTATAATTATTTTAAGGGCCTTTTTAAAGGATTTTTGGGGGTATTTTATGTATTTGAAGTGGATCTTAAGGTGGGTCATGTCTTTTTACTGTTTTCTAAGTCCTCTAAATATTTCTCAGATGTCTTCTAAATCCCCTAAACACTAAACGTCTTCAAACTACTTTCTTTAAGTTTTCTAAATGTATTCCACATACATTTTAGATGTATTTTAGGGTTCTAAATATCTTCTAACTACCTTATAGATGTCTTCAAAGGTTTCTAAATGCCTTATAGACGCCACCAAAGCTTTCTAAATACTTTCTAACTTTCCTCTAAGGCTTCTAAACACCTTTTCAAAGTCGCTTCTAATTCCTCAAAAAGAGAATCAGCTAAAGCTTTACGAAGGTTCTCAGAAACTTCTCCGAAAGCCTTTAAATGTCACGTAAGGATCTATCAGAGCGAAAATGAAGCCTCGAGACCTCCTTTGGCGAGAAGAAATCCTGGAGGAGGAGGAGTTGAGGAAGCTGTCGGCCGGTGATAGAACGAGTTTTCCAAAAGACGGCGCTCTTGCTGGGAGATTAATCCAAGTTCTTCCTCAGATCACTCTTCCTGTTTTTCGTTTTTTTTTTCTGTTTTCTTTGTTTATATATATATGTGTGTGTTTTTTTCTGTTTTTCTTTCTTTCTTTCTCTTTCTTTATTGAGTTTTGTCTCTGACACGTTCTCTCTCACTCTCTCTCTTTCTCTCTCTCTCTCTCTCTCTCTCTCTCTCTTTCCATATATATGTGCAAACACACACACACACACACACACACACACACACACACACACACACACACACACACACACACACACACACACACACACACACACACACAAACACAAACACAAACTCACACCCAGAATCAAACAATCACAGAAACAAACACACCCACCCATACATATAAACACACGAAAACCCGTATCGCTTGTATTCCCCAAATATCGCCACTAAATCCCTCATTGGCATCCCCCAGCTCGACATCATGGGCAAGAAAATCGGTTATCCGGAGTACATCGAGTCGACTGAGCTGCTGAATGCGGAGTTCGAGGGGGTAGGTACCACTGCGTTCTCTTTTGTTGTGTTTTTTGTTTTTGTTTTTTCGTTTCTTTTGATTCTTTTTTGGTTTTGTTTTTCTTCTTTTTTTCTTTCTTTTCTTGTTTTTTTTTTCTTTCTCTTTTTTTTGTGTGTGTGGGGGGGGGGGAGGTCTTCTTGAAGGATTCATAGTTTGTGCTCTTACTTTGATGCTTTTTTTTTGTTATTGTTGATGTTTTTGCTCTTGTTGCTGATATTTTTTTGTATCGTGTTATATGTCTTGGTATTTTGCTTGAAATTTTCTTCTTTTTTATTATTATTATCTTGGTTCTTCCCTCCTTCCATCCTCTGAAAGAATCACTTTCTTGTTTTAGTCTCGTTGTCGTATCCTCCTGCCTCGATATTCCTCCCCCTCCTCCTTCTTCTTCTTCTTCTCCTTTTCTTCTTCCT